AGCCATCACTGTGATCCGGTTTTAGAACATTTCTCTCAAACTCAGACGTTTGCTTGTGGCCTCTTCCCACTCTAAGCCCCAGGCAACCACTGATCCATTTTCTGTCTCCATAGGTTCCTCTCCCCTACCCTCCTCTGCCCTTTTCTTGAGCTGGAGTCTTGCTCTGTCGCCCAGGTCGAAGGGCAGTGACGTGATCTCGGCTCGCTGCAACCTCGGCCTCCTGGGTTCAAGCAATTCTCCTGCCTCAGCCTCCTGAATAGCTGGGAATACAGGCACCTGCCACCACGCTTGGCTAATTTTTGTATTTTTAGTAGAGACAGGGTTTCACCATGTTGACCAGGCTGGTCTCAAATTCCTGACCTCAAGTGATCCACCCGCCTTGGCCTCCCGAAGTGCTGGGATTACAGGCGTGAGCCACCGCGCCTGGCCTGGTTTATCCTTTCTATAAATGTCATAGAAATGGAATTCTGAAATACATAGTCCTTTGTGTCTGGTCACTTTCCTTTTGCATGTTTTGAGGTTCATCCATATTGTGTCATGTGTCAGTTGGTTCCTTTGATACTGAGTAGTCAGTTGTATATATATTGCCACGTTTTGTTTGTCTGTTCACCAGTTGATGGACATTTGAGTTGTTTCTAGTTTTTGGCTATTACGTGTAATGCTAAGAACGTGCCATGTAAGTCTGTGGACATACATTTTCATTTCTTTTGGATAGATGCCGAGGAGTGGAATTGATGGGTTATGTATACTTAGCTTTCTAAGAAACTGCCAAACTCTTCCAAAGTGACTGTGCCCACCAGCCGTGTGTGAGGTTCCGGTTTCTCTGCATCCTCACCTGCACTTGATAATACCTGTCTTTTTTATTATAGACGTTTTAGTTGTTGAGAAGTGACCACAAAATCATTGGATTTTATTTGTATTTCCTTAATATCTCATGTTGATTATTTTTTCATATGCTTATTTGCCATTCATGTATCTTCTTCTGTGAAAGTTCTATCCAAACTCCCCCCCTCCTTTGAGGTGAGATTTACATATCATAAAATTAATACTTTTAAAGTAAACAATTAATTGGCTTTTACTTAATTTACAGTGTTGTGCAGCTATCACCTCTTTCTAGTTCTAAAACATTTTTATCATTCCAAAAGGAAACCCCTATCTCTTGCTTTTAAGCCTAACATATTTCATATGTACTTTTCTATATCTTTAAAGGCTTTTTATTAACAGCCAATAAAAATACCATTTTACTTAACTAAGGAATATTTAAGTTTCCATTTTATTGTTATGAGCATCTTTGTGCAAACCTTATTCTTTAGTTAGATTGCATTTTACTGTAAATCTAATAAAACTTACCTGCCTTAGTGTGCATTTTTAACTTTATAGCCCTGTATAAGTAAGAATTAAAGATGGTACAGAAAACACTGGACAAAACAAGGTTAAAAAATAAGGGTGCAAAATGTACCTTTAGTTGGTGACATTACCATGTTGAAGTTATTGGTTAAACTATTTTTATGTTGTTGACTGTAAAAAATGTCAGCTATAGAGTGTGAAACACATTTTCTGCATGTTGTTTGTTGTTATACAGTATTTTCCCTGAGAAGCACCTAGCAAATTCTTTTGATGGTGACATTCTTTAAGATCTTTATATCCCTTCTCCGATCCCCTCCACTCCCACCCCTTGGCCAACATGAGGGGTGTAAGGATTTGGGCTTCCCCGTATCTACTCTTCATACAGTAGTCTATTATCAATAGACTATATTGTCAGTTAAAATCATTTAAGCATTTTATGGCTATAATCTCTATATATT